TCTGTTAGCAGTTTCGTGATGCCGACGCGTCATTTCCGGTCTTTGTCGATGACGTCACTTACGCGTTCGGCACGGTGGAACGCACGCTGGAACACAGCGTTCAGAATGTAGATCCGGCCGTCAGTACTAATTTTCCACTTTGCATCAGTCTTCATAGCACCAAGTCTCTCCAGAGCCACAGAGATTTACAGTACTCCAAAACAAAACATAATCAAAAAAACTGAATTTGGGAAAAAAAGGATCTATATTATACTAAAGATCAACCATCTTATACAATAAAAGTAGAGTATCACAATATAATATACACAATAAAAGAGAATAGTAGAATATCGCAATATAATATACACATAACTTGAATCAATGGTAATATCAAAGATAAAACTCAAAATAAATTCCTATGAATGAAAGAGAAATAGTTACATTAGAAAACATTATGCCAAGTATACAGTTATCAGATAAAACAGCCAATACTCAATATATAAAAATAATACAATTTAGGATACATATACATGTATGGGCATTCAAAAAGCTGGTAACAGATAAAGGATAGGTCATTAAAAATATATAATTTTTTTTGTAGAAAAGCACATTTTGTAGAAAAGCACAGAGGTGATCCAGCTATACTATCATATATGGTGATTTTTAAGAGACACAAAAACACTGGAGAGGAGAAAATAATGTCAAAGAGCTGGCAAAGGTAGAAAGTAAATGGATCTTTGATGTTGACACTCTATCCCCAAAAGGATTAAATGTTGATTTTGAGTTTGTCCATTTTTTACAAGAAATTTTTAATAGAAATTTTTTTTTGATAATCAGATTGATACGTATTTTTATATATATTTTATATATATTTTTTATATATTTTAAATGACCTATTCCTTTCTCTGTTACCAGCTTTTTGAATGCCCATACATGTATATGTATACTATGTATACTAAATGGTATTATTTTTATATATTGGGTATTGGCTGTTTTATCTGCTAACTGTATACTTGGCATAATGTTTTCTAATGTAACTATTTCTCTTTCATTTATATGAATTTATTTTGAGTTTTATCTTTGATATTACCATTGATTCAAGTTATGTGTATATTATATTGTGATATTCTACTATTCTCTTTTATTGTGTATATTATATTGTGATACTCTACTTTTATTGTATAAGATGGTGGATCTTTAGTATAATATAGATCCTTTTTTTTCCCAAATTCCGTTTTTTTGATTATATTTGGTTATGGAGTACTGTAAGTCTCTGTGGCTCTGGAGAGACTTGGTGCTATGAGGACTGATTCGAGGTGGAGAATTAGTACTGATGTCCGGATCTACATTATGAACGCTGCGTAGACATAGAACTCTGGGAAAGGTGAGTGGTAGTCCTAAGTAACAGCATTATTTCTGTTTTTAAACGGTTCACACTATGTTGTGTTTTATTTTATAGGTATTATCCTAATATATCTCTACTCATGGTAGTATTATTTTTTGTAGTATTTCACATATTTGGAGTTTGCATATAGACTGGTATATTTTATTTATCTTTGATTTCTTATGTTTGGTGCCACTGGGAAGCACTTGTATATCAGTCATTTTATCCACCTACACTATTTTTGAAATTTTGATTGTGAAGCGCCACGCACTATTTGATTGTATTTGCAAATTGGCTTTATATCAGGAAAAAAATCGTATAGTAACATCAGACGGATAATAAATCTGCTTGACAGAGCAAATAGAGATAAACAACCTCTTATAACAATCTCAATAGACGATGAAAAACCGTTTGATCGTGTGGACTGGGAGTTTCTGTTTCAGTCTCTAAAGAGTTTTGGTATGGCGGGTTTATGTACAGCTCTATTTAAGCCCTATATTCATGTCCCTCAGCGAGAACGGTGGGTCAAAATATACAGGCTGATTGGTTCCCACTTAGCAATGGGACTAGACAGGGATGCCCGCTGTCACCTTTACCGTATGTACCATCAATAAAATCATTAGCTATTGAAATAAGAAACAACTATAATATAAAATTATTCAATATTGGACAAGATGAGTATAAGATCAGTCTATATGCAGCTTAATCATTAAGAGGTATGTCAAAATCATTTCAAACTTATATGTCTATTTCAAACTGTAAGTTAAATACAGAAAAGACTATGATTATGCATACATTAATTTAACTGTAAATGGGTAAAAGATGAATTGAGCTATTTAGGTATCCGAGTATTACTTCAGATCCAAAAACTATGATGGAAATACATTTTATGAAAGTACTTATAGAGACTAATATTATGTTCAAACATTGGAAAAATATGCCTCTGTCATGGTTAAGGAGGATAACTATATTTAAATGATATATTCTACCCAAGTGGACATATATTTTTAATTACATACCTTTAAATATTCGAGAAGGCTGGCTTAATTTAGCACAGTCATACATCTCTAAATTCAAATGGGCAGGAAAAAAAAACACTCAGTAATACAATTTTATCATTAGATATTAAAAAGGGGGGTCATGGACTTAAATCTATGAGACACATATTTGAGGTCAATATATTATATCATATTTATTAGACATGTGCAATTTGTTTCGGTCCGAATATGAATTCTGACGAATTTCGGGCAATTCGGACATTCAGGTACTTCCGAATGTCCGAATTGCCGAAGTGACGAATTGCCGAGGTCCCGAAGTTCCGAAATTTCTGAATTTCCGAAGTGCCGAAGTGCTAAAGTTCTGAAGTTCCGATGTTCCGAAGTGTCAAAGTGCCGAAGTTCCAAAGCACAGTATTGCCTAAGTACTAATATACTTACCCAGTGAAAGCAGAAGAATGTTACACTGTATACAATTTTAAATAAAAAGTATACAAACATAGCCAGGATTCAGCTGTAAGCATCTGCAACACTTACAACAATCAAGTAACATACGTTCATATAAAATGTAAGTTACTTAGCCAGTCATGTAATGACAGGAATGAATAAGTAGATAACTCCCTAATTCCCACGGTATTAGGGAGCTATCTACTAAAAAGCTGAAAGCCCTAAATTGGTCTTTCAGCCAAATTTACTAATGCTAAGTAAAGATTACTTAGTATGAGTAAATTATGCCCCTACTCACTATATTGCGAGTAGGGGCATGTCTGTTAAACAGACAAACCTATTGCCCCCCCCGGCCCCCACCCCTGAGCGGCAGGTGGGGCCCTAATGTAAAATAATGGGGGGGACCTATTGTCCTCCCCCGGTCCCCACCCCTGAGCGGCAGGTGGGTGCCCTAATGTAAAATAATGGGGGGGGACCTATTGTCCTCCCCCCTGGCCCCCACCCATGAGCGGCAGGTGGGGGCTCTAAATACTAACAAGGGGGGGACCTAATGTCCTCCCCCCCTGGCCCCCACCCCTGAGCGGTGGGTGCGGGCCCTTAATACTAATAAGGGGGGACCTAATGTCCTCCTCCCTGGCCCCCACCCCTGAGCGGTGGGTGGGGGCCCTAAATACTAATAAGGGGCCTAATGTCCTCCCCCCTGACCACCTGAACCTGAACTAATAAGGGGCCTAATGTCCTCCCCCCCCGGCCCCCACCCCTGAACGGCGGGTGGAGGCCCTAAATACCAATGGGGGGGACCTATTGTCCTCCCCCCGGCCCCCACCCCTGAGCGGCAGGCGGGGGCCCTAAAAAAATGTTACCCCCCAGGTGACTAGGGGTTCCCAAACTCCTAGTCACCCCCTCCCCCAAAAAAAGAATTAGCCCCCTACCTACCCTCTCACCCTAAAAATAATGAGGGGGGACCTTTAACTAAGTACCTGTAAAAAAAATAAAACTTACCATTCGTTGTTTTCTTTCTTCTAAAATCTTCTTTTTTCAGCCCCAAAAAAGGACAAATAAAAATCCATAATAACCAAAAACAAACCTTTGTTTACCATTTTCCTTTTGTTTCAGTCTGAACCTGCAGCAGTGTTTCAAATCTCTGCCCTTTCTTGCAGAAAGTAAGTGTGGCAAGCTGCATTTTATCCTACTGCATCAGATTCACCACAAGAAGATCCTAAAGAAGGAGAGGGACATCCTACACAATGGTCCCAATGCTGTTCTCATGAGAGCCATATGTTTATATTTGGTTCCTGGTTTGTGAGTACCTGATCCCCTTTCTTATTTTCTTTTATATATCTATTGACAATATTACACTATATTGTTTTATATTTTTTGTAGATGCCTCAAGGAGTGTGATTCACCTACTATATGTATTACATGACATATTACACCATGTCATGATTTAACAAAAATAAAACCAAAATGAAAAAGCCATGTTTGAACAACTAAATACACCTTATGATTCAATAGCTTTCATAACCACCTTTACCAGCATTGACTTGAAGTAATCATTTTCTGTATGAATTTATCAGTCTCTCACATCGTTGGTGAGGAATTCTGGCCTACTCTTCTTTACAATGTTGCTTCTGTTCATTGAGGTTTGCTGGTATTTGTTTATGCACAGCTCTCTTAAGGTCCTGCGACTGCATTTCTATCGGGTTGAGGCAGTGGTGTATCCTGGTTTTGTGCTGCCCTAGGCAGGACAAAACTCAGGCGCCCCCCCTCCCCCCCAACCCTTCCCCCCGCCCCACCTTCTAAATACACACACACAGTCAGACACAAAAACACACACACACAGTCAGACACACACACACAGTCAGACACATACACACACACACACACACACACACACACACATAGTCAGACACATACACACACACACGAGCCCAGACACACACACACACACACATGAATGTGATACATGCCACAGTCGACACACACACACACAGACACAGTCAGACACACAGTCAGACACAAACACACACAGACACACACAGTCACATACACACACACACAGTCAGACACATACACAGACACACAGTCAGACACACACACACATACACACACAGTCAGACACAAACACAACACACAGACACACAGTCACATACACACACACACAGTCAGACACACATGACACACACAGTCAGACACACACACACACACAGTCAGACACACACACACACACACACAGTCAGACACAAACACACACACAAACACACACAGTCACATACATACACACACACACAGTCAGACACACACACACATACACAGTCAGACACACACACACACATACACACACAGTCAGACACACACACACACACACACACACACACACACACACACACACATACACACACAGTCAGACACAAACACACACACAAACACACACAGTCACATACACACACAGTCAGACACATACACAGACACAAACACAGTCACACACACACTCACAAACACACATTAACTTTTTTTTTAATTTAAATCCCCCCCCCAACCTCCTTACCTTTGGGAGTGCTGGGGGGGGTGGGGGTCTCTCTCCCTGGTGGTCCAGTGGCTGCAGGGCGGGCGGCGCTGGCAGGCGGGCGGCCGGCGAGGGAGCACTTCCCATGAGCTGTCTGCTCAGCTCCCTCGCGCGTCGGCTGCAGAGTGAGGCTGGGAACCGGAAGATGACGTCATCTTCCGGCTCCCAGCCTCACTTTGCGGTGCGCGAGGGAGCTGAGCAGACAGCTCATGGGAAGTGCTCCCTCGCCGGCCGCTCGGGATGTCAGTTAGCCGCAAGGCTAACAAGGCATCTGCCCTGGGCATTTGGGGGGCGGCGTTTTTTGCCGCCCCCTGAAAAATGCCGCCCAAGGCAAATGCCTTGTTTGCCTCGCGGCTAATACGTCCCTGGGTTGAGGTCTGGACTTTGACTGGACCATTGCAACCATTTTCAGCCATTCTGTTGTAGAGTTGCAGCTGTGCTTGGGATCATTATCCTGTTGCATGACCCAATTTTGTCTAAGCTTGTGCTGTCAGACAGATGGCCTCAAATTTGACTATAGAATACTTTGGTATACAGAGTGGTTCATGGTCGACTCAATGACTATAAGGTCACCAGGTCCTGTGGCTGCAAAACAATCCCAAGTCATCACCCCTACACCACTGTGCTTAACAGCTGTATAAGGTGTTTGTGCTGATATGCTGCGTTTGGTTTTCGCCAAACGTGGTGCTGTGCATTATGGTTAAATATCTCCACTTTGGTCTTGTCTGTCCAAAGAGCATTGTTTTGAACGTCTTGTGGTTTGTTCAGATGCAACTTTAAAAGCCAAAGCTGTGCTGCAATGTTATTTTTAGACAGAAGAGGCTCATTCCTGGCAACCCTTCCACACAAACTTTACTTTTTCCGTCTTTTTCTAATTGTACTGTCATGAACCTTAATTTTTAACATGCTACCTGAGGCCTGTAGAGTCCGAGATGTAACTCTTGGGTTTTTTGAAATCGCACAGTCTGACCTTGGGGTGAATTAGTTGGGACATCCACTCCTAGGAACATTGGAAACTGTCTTCAAGGGTTTATACTTTTAAATAATCTTTCTAGATATGTAGAATGACAGACTTTACATTGTTTGAAAATTGCCTTATAACCTTTTCAGGTTTGATGGGCAGCAACAATTTATTCAATAAGATTATTGCTGATGTCTGTCCTCCTTAGCAAACTGCTAACACTTTGGATTTTGTAGAGGTGGTCACACTTGCTAAGGATTAATTAATCACGGGTATTTGATTAGCAGCACCTGTCTGCTACTTAGCCTCTTAATTCCGAAGGAAGCAATAAGTGGTACTTAATTTTTCACACATGGCTTCTCCATTTTGGCTTTATTGTGTTAGATAAATCATGAGACGTTGTAATATGTCATGTGTTGTTGTTCATTGAGGTTGTATTTACCTAATTTTAAGACCAGCTAAGAAAAAAGATGATAGTTATTATGTCCTGATATGTAAAACTATAGAATTTAAAGGGTACTTTTCTTTTTTTCCCCATGACTGTATATATATTGGGTCTACAATAACCATCATGTTGTGGAGACCCAGATTTGAGACCCCATCTATGAGTTAATGGGCCTGTCATTTTACCCCGCAAAGTAAATTATAGCAATTTTGTTGAAATTGCAATGTTTACATTGCAAACAATGCACTGACATTGCAAACCTCCACTGCACTGAGCAAGTAAGATTTGGTCATGTGACATTGTAACTCATATGAAAGCATTCTTATTAGATGACATTGGATGTGCGTGTGGTGCTCACCATGCATGCACATCAGGTCCCTAATGCTCCTCTGGGATGCTCCGTTATAAAAAAATATGGGAGAGAATACGAATAAAAAAAAAAAAAAGTTCTACGTGACATTCTAACTGTGAATGTCATGATACTGTTTGCTTCTATTGCAATAAAATACACATATTTGTTTTCAGTGATGTCTCACGTGTAAAACAGTATCCCCTATGTACAGGTTTTATGGTGTTTTGGGAAGTTACAGGGTCAAATATACCATGTTACATTTTTCTGTTTTTTCACATTGAAATTCGCCAGATTGGTTACGTTGCCTTTGAGACCGTATGGTAGCCCAGGAATGAGAATTACCCCCGTGATGGCATACCATTTGCAAAAGTAGACAACCCAAGGTATTGCAAATGGGGTATGTCCAGTCTTTTTAGTAGCCACTTGGTCACAAACAATGGGCAAAATTAGTATTTGTTTGTGTGAGAAAAATGCAAAAAACTAATTTGAATGCCAATTTTGGCCAGTGTTTGTGACTAAGTGGCTACTAAAAAAGACTGGACATACCTCACATGGCCCAGGGGGGCCGAAGAGGATGAAGGGGGACTCCCTGGGCTCCCAGGTAAGTCCCCATACCGCGATTGCCAGCGACCAGATACGTGCTATGCTGCCCCCCGGCATTTAGAGCCAGGTCTCTGAATACAAATATTTGTGTTTCAAAACAGTAAAACGTATCACAACAATTATATCGTCCGTGTAAGTGCCATTTTTTTGTGTGAAAAATGCAAAAAAATTCACTTTCACTGACGATATCATCGTTGTAATATATTTTACTGATTTGAAAAACTAATATTTGTATTCAGCGAAGTCTTCCGAGTAAAACAGTACCCCCCATGTACAGGGTTTATGGTGTCTTGGAAAGTTACAGGGTTAAATTTTGTGCCAGCAAATTAAATTCCCTGGACTTTCGGCCTGGGGTGTCAGGCAGGTCCCGCAAATTGTAACTAATAAAATGACCTAATTATGTAAAATTATTACATAAATATATATGTCGAATTATTATATATATACGTGTGTATATACACCCTGTTCCAAATTATCATGCAAATTCTATTTAAGGGTCACAAAGACTAAATATTTTGTTTTTCAGTTTAACTCATGGATGGCATTGTGTCTCAGGGCTCTTTTGATCACTGAAAACAATCTCGGACACCTGTGATAATTAGATTGCCAGGTGAGCCCAATTTAAGGAAATACTACTAAAGGCAGAGCACCATTTTTATGCAATATGGGGAAGAAAAAGGATCTATCTGCTGCCAAAAAGAATGAAATAGTTCAATGCTTTGGACGAGGTATGAAAACATTAGATATTTCACGAAAACTTAAGCGTGATCATCGCACTATTAAGAGATTTGTGGCTGATTCAGAGCACAGACAGGTTCGTGCAGATAAAGGCACATTGAGGAAGATTTCTGCCAGATCCATGCATCGGATCAAGAGAGCAGCTGCTAAAATACCATTACATAGCAACAAACAGATATTTGAAGCTGCTGGTGCCTCTCGAGTTCCACAGACATCAAGGTATAGAGTACTCCAGAGTCTTGCAACTGTGCATAAACCTTTTATTCGGCCACCACTAACCAATGCTCACAAGCAGAAACGGCTGCATTGGGCAGAAAAATACATGAAGACTAATTTTCAAACAGTCCTGTTCACTGATGAGTGCCATGCAACCCTGGATAGTCCAGATTATTATTAATATTATGATATTTATATAGCGCCATCAAATTCCGCAGCGCTTTACAATGGGTGGACGAACAGACATGTAGTTATAACCAGACAAGTTGGACACACAGGAACAGAGGGGATGAGGGCACTGCTCAATGAGCTTACATGCTAGAGGGAGTGGGGTAAAATGACACAAAAAGGTAAGGATAGTATTAGACTAGTGACAGTTGCAGAAGAGGAATCAGTCAGGAGCTATTAACAGTTTAATTAATACGCTTTTATGAAGAAGTGGGTTTTTAATGATTTTTTGAAGGAGTGGAGACAGGAACGGTGCAGCCCTCGAGAAGTCTTAAAGGCAAGCATCAGAGGTGGGAGTACGGACAGAAGATTGACGTAAGTCTTCAGCAGATTGTAAGGGCCTAGATGGGACATACTTGTGTATAAGGAAGGATAGATAGGTGAGAGCAGCATTATGTAGAGATTTGAAAGCAAGAACCAGAATTTTAAATTGAGCTCTATATTTTATAGGAAGCCAATGTAGGGACTGACAGAAGGGTGAGGCATGGGAGGTGCGGGCGGACAGGAAGATGAGCCTCGCTGCCGCATTCATTATGGACTGTAACAGTGCAAGTTGGGAGCACATAAGACAACTGAGAAGTGGATTACAGTAGTCAAGGCGAGAAAGGACAGTGGAATGGCGTTAAGTAGGGGCGGATGCACGCAATGTTTTTGAGATGGAAATGACTGGATTTGGTGATAGATTGAACATGAGGCTTGAAGGAGAGGTCGGAGTCAAAGAGAACACCTAGGCAGCGAGCCTGCGTGGTGGAGCTGATGGTAGCACCGTTGACTTGGAGGGAGACAGACACAGGAGTAACAACACTTGAGGGAGGAAAGACCAGAATTTCAGTTTTGGTCATGTTTAGTTTAAGGAAGTGGGCAGCCATCCAGCTAGAAATAGCAGAGAGGCAATCAGATACACTAGTCAAGAGAGACGGGGAGAGATCAGGAGAGGTCAGGTACATTTGCGTGTCATCTGCATAGAAATGATATTGGAAGCCAAAGGAGCTAATGAGTTTACCAATGGAGGCAGTATAGATGGAGAACAGTAGAGGACCAATGACTGAACCTTGGGGGACACCAACAGAGAAGAGTTGGGGAGAAGAAGCAGAGCCAGAGAAAGAAACACTGAAAGAGCGCTGGGAGATGTAGGGGGAGCACCAGGAGAGAGCAGAACTAGGACAGGTGAGGTTTGAGATAGGTAAAAGGAGACTTTGGAGAATAGTGGAGAAATGCTCTAGGTCAAGACATTGGAGGTTTCTGTGAGAGTGATGTTCAGACGGTGGTGTCAATTGGGTCTTAGGTATGCCAATGTCAAAAGTCAGCAGATGGTGGTCAGATAGAAGACAATGAATATTGGAAAGATTAGAGGCAGTACAGAGGTTGGTGAAGGCAAGATCAAGAGTGTTTCCC